TCAGGGTTGGCAGCAGAAGTCACTGTAGAAACTAATCCCTAAAGTTCTGCAGGCTAGAAGTGATGTGATCTAAGTTCATAAATGGACAGTTTCTGTATAAAATAGAAACATTGTGGGGGTTTTTCCTCACTGTCCTTGCCAACATTCCTGTCTTGTTGCCTTGCCCGCGGTAGGGAAAGAGGCACAGTCAGACTGTGGCTGGTCCGACACGAGTGAGAGCGGGTTAGAGGGTACAAAGGGGGAGTGAGGAGGGTTTTGCTGAAGACAGACACTTTGACAAAGCAAATCGGCACCTGTCCCAAAGGGCAGTTTGGCCCCTGGTATGTTATATTGAATGTTGGGGATTCCTGTTGGGTCAGGTACCAGGCATCTGGAGGCTTCTCCTTTTAAGGAGGCCCATCCATACACCCTCCCTCAAGAGGGGCTGTGACTTAGAAGCTGCAGTGACTCTGGGCTTTTATAACATGCAGTCTACCAGCTTTCTGGCATTTGGAGATGTGTGTCGGTCTCAGCATTGCAATTTAATTATCTTGGATATATCTATGCCCCTTGTGCCTGAGTTATGTAGCTTGTGCACAGCATCATGCTGGTGATGGTGGTAGAGTACAGCAGCCTGTCCCTGGGAGCTCTGGGTAGATGCATGCATAAGACTGCACAAAGCACAGCAGGTTTATTTAGCCTGTGCACAGAATTAGCCGGGTCTGCACAGGAGAAGTGGGTTTGGGTCCTCCCGGCCCTACCCTTTTGGAGAGGCTAGTTCTGCTGCTGTTGATGTTCGTATCCTATAAGCTGTCCAACTTCACAGCGACTGAGGGCCACAGGCCCCACAGGCTACTTGGCTCCTCTCTCCCCCACCCACTGTACTGCTTGTGTGGGCTGGCACCCCCACCCCCTTTTTTCTGAGCTTTCCCCTCTGATCAGTGGATGCATTCCCTTCCCAAAGGCATGGTTCACTGTTGCCCCTCAGTGTGAGTACTGTGCTAGTGTAAAGTATCTACAGATTAACTGTGACTCCAGCATTACACACCTTCTCCCCTCCATAAAAGATTATCCAAGGAGCAGGGTAACAGGGGGTTGGGACGCTACTTTTTTCAGACACTTTATATGGTCTACATTGACCTCCATTTAAAATGGTAGTGTAAAAATGGTGATGCAGCTGTGATGGTCCAGAGATTGTGAGAAACAAGGATTTCTTAGGGTGATATCTTTTATCGGACCAGCTGTATAGTTGGGATATACATTTAGACAAGCTTTCAAATGCAAGACACTCTTCAACAGACCTGAAGATATCACTCTGAAAAACCTTTCTCCTCCATTAAGATGGAAGTGACCCTGGCGTAGTTAGCCTAGAAGGAAGCCTTAGCCTCTCTGAAGCCCTATGTCTAGAAACATTTGAAATGAACAGTGGGATTTATGGGAGTCCTCTGCCCTAGGTGAATTTCATCCTTTAAGTACATTTTCTGCTGCTGAAAACTGAGACATCTATTTGAAAGACTCAGTTATCAATAACAGTAAAAGCAATATAAGTGCAATGCACATATAAATCACAACAGAAAACACCCCTCTAAAATAAGCTGTTGATACAGAGCTCTTAAGAAAACACTCACAAGGAAAGCATGAGGTGCCCAAAACTCACCTTCCATCCTTTCTCAGTTCCTGTGAATTATGTTCCTTCTCCTTTTATTCTTCAGGGCCAGGCAATCCACATTAGTAATACAGATCTGATCTGTTTGTAGTTCCTACCTGAAGGTCACAAGAGATGGAAGTGATGCTTGGTAGTCGTTTTTGATACTTATATACGTATAATGAATTAACCAGTTCCCATAATAAATGACTGTCCAAAGCCAATTTTCCAGCTCATCATGGGTGTAACTGTGGGAAGACATGCTCAGCTTGTTTACTTGGAGGAAATACATTCTTGGGAATGCCCATGGCAAACAGGACTTCCTACAAGGATTCCTAACTATGTCATAACTCACCTTTAAGGATGAGGAAATAGGGAGTCGGGGGAGCCTGAACCATATGGAGGTATGGGGCACTTACCGCTTTCGTAACTTCCTCTTGGTCCAGAGTCATTCCTGCTTTAGTTTAGCAGCTCTGTTTGCAATCCCCTCCCCCCCTTCCTACCCCAGGCCTTTTTCAATCGCACGCTGAATTTTCACACAGGGTAAGTTTCAAAATGCTTTCTGTCCTGTTCCTGCAATCACTTCTTACTAAAGAATTAAGGAAAAAGATTTCTGGTATTGAGTTTCATAACGTAAAAACTAGGAAGAAACCGATCTCCAATTCCATTCATTATTTGTTCTAAGGGGTAGTTTTGTGACCAGAACAGAGGCTCTGGAAAGAGACTCTGGCAGTTTTCAGTAATCTGCCTATTCCAGTATCTTCCCACTGGAAGCCGCTAGCTGCACCCTTCAGAAGAGGCGTGCCACCCTGATGATGCAGGGCAGTACTCGGAGAATGCGGGTCCCATTGGAGTGAAGGAGACAACAGGAGATATCTAAAGTTGTGAGGTGGGTTTGGGGTTTAACATACCAAGGGAGGGAGGGGTTGTTTTTGTTTTCTGGTTAGTTCACCAGTTGTTTAACCATTTGAGCAATAAAAATAATTCCTGGCAGCTGCTGTTTGAGACTCCGTTTCATGCTCCAGAAGAGCCCCCTGCTTGTGCAGCATTCATTGTAGCCTGGCGTGGTCCTCAGGAAGAGGAACATAGAGCATATTCCAGTCTGGCAGCATGGGATCTGTTGTGCCCTTCTGCATTTCCCTACAGTCGGCTGTCAAGTTCTTCCCCAGTGAGGGAGGGGGCAGGCCCTTCGTTCTCAGAACTCCCTTTCCCTTCAGCTCTCGATTGCTACACACACAGTTCATTGAGGGCATATTTTTCCTACCTTTGATTCATCTTTCTCGATATCCACAAAGCCACAAACTCCAGAGTTACCTGAACCCCATGCCCAGACCTAATGACAAATGGCATTGGCCAGTTCTTACCTTCCGCCGCTCACTATGCAGAGATTGCTTCAGGCATTGCAAATGACTCGTTCTGGAACATTACTCTTAATTCTCTCTCATTTGCTATTCACATGATTCACACAGTTTTTCTGCCTCAGTTGCAGTCGCCCCATTGACTGTTGCAGGACATCCAGTCACCAAAAAACTTTCAAAGAAAAATGGCCCCGTTCAGAGGCAGCCAGCCTGCACGTCCATCACTCGCCGTTCTGAAGCGGCAGTAGTCTCTGCAATCCCTCTGGAACTGTGCTGTTTGCCTATCTGCAGAACTCATTAAGTTGTAGGCGGTTTCCCTACCCACTCCTTGTCCAGGTAGATTCAGGATGTTTTGTTCCCATACTCTTCTAGCTCTGGGGCCCTGAAGCTGCTGTCCAATGTACCTTTTTCCTTCTGTAATCCAAAGACTTCCACCACATTTGCTGTAGATACCCCTCCTCCCCCCACCATTCATCTCTCGTCTGTGTAAATGTTATCACTCTCTAATGATCTTTCTGAATGAGAATAAGATGTTAATGTAAAGCACTAGATTGCCATTGGTTCCTGCTTGGCTATTCCTATAGTCTTTGCTTCTTTGTATGAGGCAAGCGTTTTTTGGGGTGATATCTTTTATTGGACCAACTGCATGGCTGGAATGAAGTTATAACATCACTCAAACACCAGCTGTGTATACATGGCTAGGCAAGTCACCACCTGCTTGTTTACAATTTTCTGTTTCACAACTCCGTGTTACTGCCTCCTGTGTCTCGTAAGTGTGTCAGATAAACTGAGTCAGGCAACATCTCTTCCTTTTGCCATCTCCTTCCTGCATGTTAAACCCCCTGCTAGTCCTGGCTCCTGGAAGTTGATCATACTGCTACTAAAGAGATGTATCTGGAGTGGAGACAAACAAATCAGGAGAGTCTCTTCTGTATAACAAGAGTTCAAACTCTCCTCTACAAATAACCACATCCTTCTGTGCCCCCCCCACCCCCTTTTTAAAGTTGTTCTTGTTACTGAGCATATCTCCTAGTACTGTCTGCATCATCCCCCACCTTTCCAGTTTCCTTCCTGGCACCTAATCTATCTAGGGATTTGTATTGCCATCATTGCTGTGGCATCTTTGGGCAATAGTAAGATTAAGCGCATTTGTTCTGTACTTTTGTCATTTATTCCTATGTAAATTGCACTGGGAATTTCCTGGGACATGTTCCGCAAGCTGCATGCTGCACTTAGGTATTCAGGCTCAAAATATCCTGGGCCAGGCTCTTCATTATGTACTGAACAGCCAGGAACATTTGGCTGATCATTTTTCTCAAGGACAGAAAATATATGATGTGTGATGCCTTTGTTAATATCTTGCACTGCTATATAATGTTCTCAAATCATTTTACAGCCCTCATGTAATTAGTGTTCATGATACCCTAAGGAGGTAGAGAAGTATTACTGGTATGTAATATATACAGAACAAAGAAATAGGGACACACATTGTGCCAAGGGCGTGCGTGGACTCTGTAGCGGAGCTAGGAATGAAGCCAAGGCCTTTTGCCTTCCAGTCCTGTGCTTTTTAATGAAGACTATAATTCCTTTTGTGCTTGTTGCTTGGGAGGCATTATACTGTTTGAAACATTGGTCTCTGTATTAATGCTCCTCCTCCATAACTATTCTATATGCAAATTGGACACGTGTCCTCTCCAGTGGTGTCCCTCTGTTCCATTTGGCTTGCTTTCGATGCCACTCCAGACCCCCTTGATTTAATTTACTCTTCAGGTGTCTGCACCCTTGTCCTCATAAACGTATCCACATTGGACCTCGTGTTTGTAGCCTGCTAGGTTCCACTCAGAAAAGGAAGATAATGCAGCTTCCACAATGAATGATGCTGAATCCACGTGACCTTTCAGTGCCCTAATTGTAGTGTTTTTAATTAAACACATCATTTACTAGAAGTGTGCAGCATCCACCTTTTCTGCTCCCAGGACTCCTGATTGCAGCTCATAGAAAACACGGTCCTCCCAGTTGTGCTCGTGCAACTTAATTGGCTTCAGTGGAGAGTCTCTTGGCTTTTCTCAGTGTAGGAGAAGAGTCTGGCTCAAAACCTTCATGTCTCCCTCAGATCCTGACGTTCTGATTGCCAGTGGGTCTCTGACTGCTGTTCGCCCAGTAGATATAAATGTTTCCAAAGAAGGAAAGAGCCCTGCTCTCACACACTCAAGGAGTCATCTCATAGGTCATTTGCGCACCGCTTAGAGTCTGCAGCTGTTCCTGGAACACGGCTTTTCCCTTCTGTTTCCATGCAAACTAGCACGTTAGCTAAGAGTTAAAGTCATTAAAAGCTTGCATAAAGGACATCTACCATTACACATGCTATTTAGCAACAAACATGAAAGACATGTATGTCAACTGCTAAAATCAATTATGCTATTTCACCCCAAGCTTAACACGCCCTTTATTAAAACACACCCTGTATTGGAATTTTTATTGTACACAACAACTGAACAGCATTAAAGCTACGTTATGACCTTCTCTCCTGAACTTCTTTCATGCCTAGCACTGACATATGATTCCCAATAGGGGACTGAAATGTCTCTATTATGTCTCAGGGCTCTGTGCTGAGCTTAGAGCTGATGAGTATCTGTATCCTTCCCTGTCATTACAGTGGCAGGGCATTGGTAATATCCTTGATTTAGGGGCTTCAGAACCCTTTTCCCCAAATTCTCCAAGTAGTTGTAGAGGAAGGTGAGAGAGAGGAGGGGAAGAGAAGCACATTTGTTCCTCCCTTCTCCCGTTGGAGGCAGGAGCAACTGCATCATGAGGAGATGCCTCTGCTAAGCAGCAGATGTCTGCAGGTGAAAGTCTTTGACCACTTAGCCCATTGTGCCACCTTCTTCTCCTCTCCAGCTAGTCTTCCAGTCTGCAAATTGTCCCAGAAGTCTCAGCTGCACAAGCTTTGCCATCTTCTCATCACTTAGGACCAGATTCCAGTCGCTCTCAAAGGCGTCTATGTGGGATTTGGGTGGAATTAGACTCCTAAATCACAAAAACTACTCCAGCTCAACCCTCTTCCAGGGGCCGCAAACTGCCTAGATGACAATATTTTGGCCTGGAATGTTCTCTAGGAGCATGGACCTGGACTTCTGAGCGTGGCCAGAAGTAATGGGCCAAAGCACCCCAGGGGAAAACCAGGAGCAAGGGGCGTAAACTCCAAAAGAAGGTTTCAGACTGGCTATAAGGAAAATCTTTTTCACCATTTGTGTGATCAGACTCTGGAATCGGCTCCCAGCAGGGGTGGTGCAGGCACCAACCCTGGAGATCTTCAGCAGGAGACTGGACCTGCACCTTGCTGGTTGTTTGACTCCCACAGTCTTTCCTGCCCGGAGCAGGGGGCTAGACCCGATGATCTCACGAGGTCCCTTCCAGCCCTAAACTTCTGTGAATCTGTAAGTCAGTTTGAGCAGCTTGGTGCTCGGCTGCTGCCTGAATTCTGCCACAAACTGGCTGAGAGCAGGGAGGTTCCCAGAGTCCACCTGTGTGCCTGGCGCCCGGAGCACTGAGTTTAGCACAAAATGGATGGCCCTGGCCACTCTCAAATGTGCCTGGCAGGGGTAGTGCTGCTGATGCCCACCTTGTGCATGGTAGTGCAAAAGTGCTGGGACACTTGCTGAGGAAGTGGGGAAGGACAATTTGAGACCCTCCTCCATCTGAGAGGGTCCAGATCCACATCTCTGGCTTTGCTCTGCCCCACGCTCTAGAAGAGGCTGGATGGGGCAAGAACTGTTGTGCGTCCCCCCTCCCCTCAAACCTTCTTTAAAGAAGCTTTTCCAGTATTTGAAAATGCTGCCATGTCCCTGCTGATCTCCTTTCATTCAAATTTATCAGGACCAGCTCTCTTCACCTTTCCTTGTACAGCTTGCCTTCCAAACCCCTGATCTTTCTTGTTGTCTTTGGAACGGAACCTCTCCAAATTCTCCGCACGCGTCCTTCTTAAAATGTGGAGCTCATAACTGCACCTGAGTCTCTGGTTGGGGTCTAACCCAAACCCAGTACAGCGGTACTATTGTACCCTGTGTTTTACACCTAATAATCCTGTTGATGTATCCCCACTGCATTTGCTTTTCTAATGACTATCTTATTGCTGACTCAATAGGTAGGAAGAGGCTGCTGTTGCCAGTGTTGGCTGATTTTTGTCAGGCAAGGAGCACTGTACACTGGTTAAGTTATAAATCTGAATATTGGAGTTCATCAGCCACCCATCTTAAATTAAAATCAGCTCAGTCAGTATTAATTTGCCCAGATGTGATATTGAGCAGGCAGCAGCTTTTTGTTACTTGGGAAGCATTTATAGTATGTTTGAATGATTGGAAATATTTGTTAAAGTTGTGGATGCACCTTAACAGTGGATTCCTAAGGATGTTCACCCAGCAATGGCACTGCATATATGACACAGATGTGGTTGCCAAAAGCTTTGGCAACTGATAAGATACCAGAAATGGACCTAGCTTGGATGTTCACCCAGAGAGTGTTATGAGAGATGAGCATGAGACTGATTTTGGGGGTTTAGTCTGCAAGGTAGCTGCCATGTTGGGCTTTTTGTGATGGTGACTCTCCTTGCGTTTCAGTAATATCCTGCACTCCTGTGCATGGTTGTTGGCATCTAGTGACCAAAGCAGGGATGGGAGTGTGACATGAAGTTGGGCGCAGGGTTGGCGATTGTTCAGGGAAAGGAAGGTGAGTGGAGGTTCCCAGTGGATATTAGCACAGATGTATAATTGCTGGAAATGAATTTGGGGACTGGCGTGTAGAGAGAGGAAGGAGCTGCATGACAGAGGGAGGGGAGTTTCTGGGAAGGGCCCTTTTAGACCACATTTGAGAACTGGAATAGTTACCTCAGCTTCCCCCTACCAGTTCCGTGTGATTTGGGCCACTAGATCTGTGATCTGTGCAGCTGCTGATCATCTGGTCTATCCCCAGCCACTCGGGTTGCAGACTTTCCCGCTGGCTACCATGAGGCGAGTGCGCCACATGCATGAAGATTATGCTGGCACTCCAGCATGGCCACTCTAACCCCAATGCCCACGCAGGGCATAAGGCATCTGGAGGGCCTTGCCCTGGTCACCTGTGGAGGGGGTGACTTTCAACCCGCTCCCGCCCACCATTACTTCACATCCTCCCAGCTGCTTGCACTGTCAAAGCAACAGAAATCTGAGGTGGTTGTTATAAGAGCAAAGTAGGCAGGGTG